TGCTTTCTGGGTGATTTTCAAGGTCAGAGAGGCTGGTTTCGCTCAGTCAGTAGAATTCTTTCCTAGCAGGCATAGAGCTAGTTTTGAGCCCCAGAATTGCATAAGCTGGCTGTGGTCTTGCAGACCTGTAGTACCCGTAACCATAGCACTTAACTAGGAGGTAGAGGCAGGGGGATCAAAAGTTCATGGTCATCTGTGGATTTATAGCAAATTCATAGCTAGATTGGGTTATAGACCTGTCTCCAAACAAAACAACAAAATGGGGGGAGGATGTCAGCAAGATGGCTCCTCAGTGGGTAAAAGCAGTTGGCAGTACAAACCTGATGACCTGAGGACCTGTGTTTTATCCCCAGAACCTAGAGAGGAAGGAGAGAACTGACCTAGGCTTGCCCATGCATCCACATTCATCATACAAAACACACAACAGCATGACCAAATCATATTTTTAAAGGTTAGAGGGGGTCCGGTGAGATGGCTCAGGACTTAAAGAACTTGCCATGAAAGACTGGTGACTTTAATTCAATCTCCAGATGCCAAGGTGCAGTGAAATGAACTGGACCCACCAAGATGTCTTTTGACCTCCATGTGAGTCATGGCATTCACACCCTTGAGAACTTTCAAACACACCCACACACAAACAAATAATAAAATTTTAACATTTAAAAAAGTGTAAACAACTTCAGTTTGAACCATCTACATCTTGAAGGACGACAGACTTCATGCATTAGTCATGTATTAGTAATACAGAGCATATGTAATTTCTGTTTTTCATAATTTAGTAGGCATATGAAGAACATTTCTACTATTTACAAAGGGACCTCTCTAAATGTACGATACATATATAAATGTCATACTCTGTATTTTACTTTTAATTGCTTCTTGAACAGGAAGTCACATTTGGGTCAAGATAATCCGTTTCTGTAGCATCTCTGGCCTGTACTCATGAGATGCACCATCAATCAGTTTTGACAATTAAAACAATAGACACAGTCACTTGCTCCCTGGGAGGCACACAGAACCTGACTGACAGATAATCTATATCCATGAATATAAGCTTCATGGAGATAAATTTATAAAAACTGTTTTGCTTAGTTAGGCACATTTGAAATCATCTGTAATCCCAGCACCTTTGAGGTGGAGGCAGGGAGGACAAGAGTTCAAATTTAGCTACAGAACCATCTTGAGGTCAGCTGGGGCTATATGAAGTGCTGTTTCAAAACAATTTATTAAAACTCATTTGTTTTACTCCTATATTTCCAATCCCTAACAGAGCAAACGACCTGGTGATGAGAACTCTTTTTAGATCTGAAGCTAATTAGAGTAGTGTGGCTTCAAAATGCCCTTAGAATGAAGAAACCCAGTGTGGATTTATCATTTTGCCACTAACCCTTCACATAAACACACACACACACACACACACACACACACACACACAAATTCTCTACTTGTGGCTTCTTCTAGATCCATTCCCTTCTCCCAACTTAATTTTTTGTTGTTGTTTTGTTTCTAATTAGCCCATTGCCGTGTGGTGGTGCAGGGTGTTAATCCTAGTACTCACAAGGCAGAGGCAGGTGGATCTCTGTGAGTTTGAGACCAACCTGGTCTAAAGAGTGTGCTGCAGGACAGATAAACTGTCTCGGGAAAAGCCCACCAATGGACTCCTGTTTGTGCTTATATTATACTCACAGATGTGGGACCTTCCACTGGAACACATTCAACCTACCAGGGTCCATACCTTTAAAGACACCTGACTCTTCTTTCCCCAGAAGACAACTGACAACAGCTCCTCATCTAAGGTTCAGAGCTCAGGAGCCCATCAAGCCCTCCATGACGTAATGCTGACTGGCTTTAGGTCACAGCTGCTGTGATTATGGGAGGGCAACAGTCCTGTCATGTCCAGAAGACATGGTTTCTGGCTGATATCCCGACTGCTCACTTTAAAAATCTTTCTGCCCCCTCTTCTGAGATGTCCCTTGAGTCCTGGAGGAGGATGTGCGTATTGGCTTTTATTGTCAACTTGATACAACTTGTAGCCACCTGGGAAGGTAGAACCTCAACTAATTACCCAGGTGAGACTGGTTTGTGGCCATGTATATGAAATACAGTTTTCACTGAGTGTTGATGTGGGAGGACTCAGTCCCCTGTGAGGAGCCCCATCTCTAGGTACATGGGTCTGGACTGTATCAGAAAGCTATATAATACTTGAGTCAACTAGAGAGTCAGTGCATTGCTACAATGATTTCTGCCCTATTTCCTGTTGGAATTCCAGCCCCAACTTCCTCCAATGAAGGACTGTAACCTGGAAGCATAAGCTAAACAATCCTTTTCCTTCCTGACTTGCTACTGTTTATCGCAACAGCAACTACACTAGAGGTACAAAGTGCATGTTCCATTTATGGCTTGATTGCTATGATCTTTATATGTTTATTTTGGTGGCTTTCTTATGGTCCAGTGAGTTGTGTTTTATCTTATTCATTCATTAAGTGTCTTATGAATATTCATATCTACAGGGCCAACTTATAAAAGTAGCTTTTGTTTCTTTTGCAGGTTTTGGTTTCACTTAGTGTCAAAGTTTCAATTAGTCACACAGAGAGAACATTTTTCAATTCGTAGAAATATAGTAGCAAGTCAAGCTTGCCAATTTGTAACACTATAAAAATCACCTAATTAAGATGGCTCAGTGGGTGAAAGCACTGTGTAAGCACAAGGACCAGAGTTAGCATTCCTAGAAACACACACACACACATACACACACACATCTGTGCATACACACATACACCCCCACAAACACAAACATGCTCATGTGCACACATATTCACATACATACACATGCCAATAAAAAGGGGTGGTAAATACTGGATTTGGAAAAAATGCTTAATAAGAAATAGGCCCTGAAGGAAATATACCTCAATAAAGAAATCTTAAGTATTTCTGTTGCAAACATTGTCTCAGTTAATATAGTTAGAGCTGGTGTGGACAAAACTTGCTGTCTCTCCTGTGCATGCTTGTTCATATTTTAGCTCCTAGGCTATGAGCAACGGGTTCTTTTAATCTTGATGCATGAAGTATCTGCAGAGACACAGCTTAACCTAAGGCTTTTACTGTGAAGTATGTCCTCTGGACTCCCGGGAATGTGTGACCATTGGCAGGGACCAGCTTTCCTCGTGGAATCAGTTTGGGTGAACTCTGCTAGACTTATAGTTCTAGAGACTAGATACAATTCTTGGCATGTATGGTTCAGATGCTGGCCCCTGTCTGTTTTGATTGGTGTAAAAATAAGAATTTTAACTTGCACATAGTTACAAGACTGGTATTTTGGACATGCTTTTGTTTGAACCTTCCACTTGAATTTAATAACGTTGTCACCTCACACACAAAAAAAAGAATCACCTAAGTGTAGTGCTGTCACTAGACTTTTCAGCGTTGTGCAGATGTATTTTAAGATTCTAACAGGAATAAAACTGTGCCTTGTCTAGTTTGAGGGTGGACATTACAATTGTAATAGGTGAGTAAGTGTAAATACTTTTGTATTTTATGTTTTTTCAAATTATGCAATGACCATGTATTGATTTTACACCAGAAGAAATATTCTTGTGCTGGAGATTTAGGTCACTTGGTGCTAAGCTAGCATGGTCATAACCCAAGCACTTGGCAGATGGCAGCATGGGGATCGAAAGTTCAAACTTTTCTTTGGCTACATAGCAAGCAGGAGAATAGCCTGGGATACTGGAGACTCTGTCTCAAAACAACAACAACAACAAAAAAACCAACAAAAAACATTTAAAAATCTTTCACAATAAAAACCGTTTAAAATAATTTTTGAAAAGAGAACAAACATTCTCTTTCAAAAGTAATATCATAAGAAAGGTATTAGAGTGGGTCATGGTGGTGCACATCTAGAATCCTTGTACCTAGGAGGCAGAGGCAGAAGAATTGACACAAATTTGAGGCCAACCTGACTTCTGCACGTTATTCTTTTCTGTAATGAGAATTAGGTCTTTGTAATAAACTCATAGCCAATGGTTTACACCTTAAATCAAACAAAAGATCACTGTTTTTAGCACCGTATTATCAATAATTTAGTCATTATTGTTAATCTAAGAAACAATGCCAAATTATAGAGTTCATTTTTCTTCTGTCTCCACACTGCATCTAATTGTCCATATAGAAGTAACTACTAAATGTGAGAACAAGTGTGTTTTTTAAATATTTACTTTCCATATCACTGTGGTAAAATCACCGTAGAAAAAACATATATTTTAACTGGCCCTTTGAGGTTACAGACTGTTATGGTGAGGAAATCACAGCAACAGGAACTTGAGGCATCTATGAATGCTCGTGTTCAGCCCATTTTCTACTTTTCCCACAGTAAAATCACAGGCCAGGGAATGGTGCCACCCACAGTGGGTGGGTCTTCCTACCTCAGTTAACCTAACCATGATATTCCCCCACATGCATACCCAGAGGTTCTTGACCAATTGATTCAGGACCTCATCAAGTTGTAAACTGAGAGTAACCATCATAACAGCCTTATACAGAAATACCACATAATTACAGCATCACTTTGTGGAATATAGAACTACAAGGTTAGCTGGACACAGGGCCCGAGAGGTCCATGCCATACTTTGCTGACTCACCATGTCAGGATCATTATTGCTTTGGACTCCAAGTATCAATGGTCAGGAAAAATCCACATATATATTTAAATATTATTTGAGCTGGGGAGACAGCAGATGTGATAGAGCATGTCCTACAATGCTTAAGGTCCCAGGTTCTTTTTTAATTACATTTTTTGTTTTGTGTATGTGTGTATATGCATACATATGGAAGAGGTTAGATGACAACTTGTAGAAGTCAGTTCTCTCTTTCTAGTATGTGAGACAAAGGGATGATCTCAGGTGGATCAGGCTTGGTGGCAAGTGCCTTTACCTGCTGAGCTGTCTCATACTCCCAAGGTCCTAGCACTGAAAGAAGATAAGTAAATAAATAACAATGCTCACACTCTTTATTATTTTTCATGTGTTTACAAAGTCAACAACAGAAGATGTTACACTTCATTTTATGCTACAGTACAAATTTCTATAAAATGTAACAGTATAAAAGTTTACTATTACAGTAATACCGTAGTTAAAGTTACTTACAGGGATTGGTTTTGTGGAGAAAACTTTATTATCAGTTGTATAGGTTGCAGAGCTTAAGGACTACAGTAAATTATACTTTTCTCTCACATTGAAAAAAACCCATATATTTCTAAAGACAGCTAGTTTCCTAAAATAACCCACTTAAACGAGCTTTCTTTTTGCTCATCTCCTTATTCTCTTATACAAACGGTGCTAAACAATTTTTCTTCCAAGTGTTTAGTATCAACAAAATCGTGACATCACACCCTACCTAAGAAAGTATTTCAATAATAACAGTCTAGAGTCTAACATTCTAAGAATATACTTATGCTCCTAAGTATGGTTCAGTGCAATTAGCAGCAACCCCTTGACAGGAAAGAACAGTTCAGTCTCCCTGTCTTCCTTGTCTATTGTTCATACTGTTCAATCTGGCACGTCTCAAAGACCTCAGTATGGTGAATCTAGTGTGGAGCGACAGGTTAGTCTGTGAAAGAGACAAAAAGCTTTAAGTTTGGGAACTTAGCAGTTTAATAAAACACTCTTGCCCTTGGTTATTAAAAATAGACTAGGGAGCCAGTCATGGTGGCACACACCTATATTTCCAGCCTTTGGGAGGTCAGGCCAGGAAGGTCAGGAATTCAAAGTCAACCTCTGCTACAATACTGAGTTAGGAGTCAGCCTGGGCTATGTGTGACCCTTTGTTAAAAAAAAGGAGGAGGGGGGGAGGAAAGGAGGTCTCTAGTTAGACCATCTATGCTAAAGCTTTAAAGGAAGAGTATGGAAAGGCATATTACCACAAAGACCAAGTAGCAATATGCTTTCCCAGTTGAATAAAGGGCAGACTTAATTCTACATGCTGGGATTCAAGAGTCTGCCTCATAATCCAGGGTTTGACAATCTATTAGAGGAGAGCAGTCCTAGGTACAAGCAACTTCCTGTGGGTCTTACTGGTCTACAGCTGACTGGAATACCTCAAAGACTGCCAAGTCAGACTTAATTCCACTTTCAGTTTATACACATGGCCACAAAGCCCAAGTTTCTTTCCTCATCTTTCAGACATATCATTTTCAACATCATCTCAAAGCCTAAGTAAGAAACAGGGTTAGTACTGTTCTGAGACAGAGATTGTTTGTTTTTTTGTTTTCCACCTAGGAAACACACACATGGACACACATAGACACATTTTTCTTTTCTTTGTTTTTCTAAGACAGAGTTTTGATATGTAGTTCAGCATGTCCTTGATCTCTCAATTCCTACAGTATCGTGGCTTATTTATGAGGTACATACTTCTATGCACAATATAATCAGAACACAGATGGAATGGTATACCTTGATTATTTCAGCTGATTACTAAGTGAGGAATGGCAGACAATTCTTTCAGTTTCAATCCCTTATAAAAGTCTTTAAACATGAATTAGATTGCTTATTTGCTTTAGTACATACTCTAGTAAATGATGGGGGGTGTCCTTCTGTATATGGTTCTCTTATTGGTTGATGAATAAAACACTGATTAGAGGCAGGAAAATAGGTGAGGCTAGGAGAAGAGGCAAGAGAAGTAGTGGAAAGACGTACCATGTAGAGACTGGGAAGAAAGTATGCATCAGGCATTCTTTGGTAAGATAAGGACATGCAGAAATACATAGATTAGTAGTTATGGGTTAATAATTAAGAGAGAGCCAGCCAGTAAGATGCCCTAGCCACTGGCCAACAGTTTTAAAATTAATATAGCATCTGTGTGTTTACTTGAAACAAATCGGCTGTGGGACCAGGCAGGACAGAACCTCCATCTTCAAGTAAACAAGGACGTTTCCTTTGTGAGCATAACATTGAGACTTACTGCAGCTACAGGAGTAAGTGGGCTGATTCATGCCATGACTGAGATTTGTTGGAACGTTTGGAAAGATGGTTCAGCAGTTAGAATCTGAGTTTATTTCCCAGCACCTGCATCAGGTGTCTCACTAATGCCTTTACATCTATCTTCAGATATCTGCATCTGCCACCCTACCCACACCACATGGGATGGGGCAGGCAGGCAGACAGACAAGATGTAAGTACATATATAATTAAATAATTAAGGTCAGCTTGTTTTCCCAACTTTCCTGTTTTTCACAAACACAGAAGACAGGAAAAAAGATTTCTTGTGTATTAATACATTCACATGTTTCTTATATGTAAAAGATAACCTTATATATTTCAAGTTGACCTAAAATAAACATGGCTTCCTCAACATCTAGTGAGCAAACAGTTGTGCAATTGCATTGTATGTACCCGATTATTCCATGCTCCGACACTGTAGCTCATTCTTACTCCTATTGGGTGACGTGTAAAAGTCTTAATTGTGGTGTATCTACCATTCAGGAATTCAGCATCAACTTCAGGTCTCCATAAACTGTCAATTAAAACATAATAATAATTAGATATAGTGGCCACTAATCAAATGATCAACTTTGAGGCCTTCAACTTAATTGTAAGTCTAATTTCTCGAAGCCTAAAAGAAGGTATGAGTTTTACCACTGAAGTACACTCTTAAACTTAGGTATTATTACTATTATTAATGTCCTTCACATCTTTAGATGAGTTTTCACCTGCTAGATAGGAATCCAGTTTTACTCCTCTTTAATTATAATGTATTTTGGAACAGAGGTAAATACAACTTCTGTAGGAAGAAAATACAATTGTAATTACCTTGGACTAGGATGGGGAGAATATAGGTCTGAATGAAGAGTGAGTGACTCATAAAGACTATGAAGTTGTGGGGGATGACTATGAAAATGTTCTAAAATCATACTACAGGGAAGACAACACATCTCTTAATATACCAAAAATCCACAGAGCTGTGTAGTTTAACTACATAGCATATAAAACTGCAGCTTAGTAAAATTATTAGAAGTTATGCCTATAATCCCAGCACTCAGTAGGCAGAGGCAGAACAATCAGGAGTTCATGATCATCCTTGGCAACATAGAGTTTGAGTCCAGTCTTGGCTATATGAGACTGTCTTATAAAACATAAACAAAACAGTGGCTTCTTATCTTCACCACTAAGACTACCTACTTTTCTGAGTCCCAACTAAGTGTAACATTCCCTTGTAACATTCTCTTTCACCATTTCTATTACTACTTGAATAATGGCTAAAATTCTAAGCCTATTTGGCCAGTCTGAAGCCTATTCTTCTCCATGAAGCTAATGAATATGCTTGCTTTCTTGGTACTTATGTTGAAAAACACGACTTTCTCTCTTCTGTTTCTCCATCTCCCTCTCCTCCTGGCAGCTGCTGAAATTTACAACTTCTGTGCCCTGTCACTATGTCTTTTTATAACTCATAAAATGGTCCTGACACTTACACAAAAAGAAAAAAATGTTACAAAAATGTTAGCTGAAGGGCTAAGGGTACAGAACAGTGGCAGAACACTTGATTAGCCTGTGTGAAGCTCTGAATTCCATTCTCTTCTCTGTGAGAATCCCGAGTGAAAAAGTGAATGAAAAGTCAACGTGATATTGGAAACCTAGAATCCCCCAAACCAGGAGACTGAAGCAGAAGGATCTTGAGTTTAAGGGCAGTCTAGATATATAGGAGTTAATACAAAAGCCATCTTTGATTCCTGTAACATTTGTTGTGCCATGTTGCAAAGGTGTGTTCCATAAAGTACCTGATGGATGACTGCTAGTGGGTATGGTTTATCTTTTGTCTTACACTGGCTCTCTGTGTCAGTGAACAGTACAGCAAAAAGAAACATTTTTGGAGACAGCATCTCATGTAGCCTCAACTGTCTTCAATTTCATTATATAGTTGAAAATGACCTTGAACTTTGGAAACTCTTGCTTCCATTTTCTGAGTGTTAGGATTACAGGCATTGGTCAATAAGCCTGGTGTTACTTCCTTCTGGGGAATGAATCAAGAGATTCATACATGTTAGATAAGCAGTCTAACAAATGGACTGTATCTTCAATCCAAGGAGGGATTTCTTAATGGGTAGCTAAAATAGTATTAAGGAATAGGTTCATCATATATAGTCACACTTTACTATAATAAAACAAATGTCCAAAGCTGTATAGTTGTCTTGATATTACTTGAGTTATTAACTATATAAACAAGGTACTTTCTGTAACAACTATAACAATATAAATATTGTTCCTATTAGGCTTTATAAGTAGACCAAACACTGTTTTTGTCTGGTGGGGGGAATGAGAGTTCAATGAATAATTAGATTTACAATTGTTTCCTTTCTCCTTCTTTTCTTCATACATCTCTTCCTCCTTTGTTGCCTTCCTACCTTCCGTTTGCAGTGCTAAGCATAAAACTCAGGGCTATGTAATTCCAGACAGGTGCTCTACTGATTCATTCAATGTTAATGTCCTCATAAAATTGCTGTTGTGTTTTCTCTGGTCTTTTCTTTTTTCTTAAGTTTTTCCTCTAACACAAAGTACCTGGGTTAGCCTAATGAAAACAGAGGACAAGGTCAAAAGTGAAAGTCAGGGTGATTGACAGTGAGGAGGTGGTGATTTGGGTGGAGATGTGTGTTGAAGTTGGAACTGGCATTTACAAGTGGGGGAGTGGGGCAGTTCAGGTTTTGTTTTTGAAGAATGGACTCTGGCTGACAAGCGGTAAGAAACATCACTTACTTGTTCAATAATAAATCTCTTTCCACTCTTGTTCCAATTGTGGTTATCCTTTTCCTAAGATTGAATCTACTGCCCACAGCCATTGTATTTGTTTAAGCAACAAAAGAAAGTGAATATTCTAGCATTGCAAGAACTAAATCTTCTTTGTATTTGTAGTTGTGGAAAGGCAATACACAACAATAAAATCCCATAGGTTTGTCATCATCCGTGTCCTCCATGCCCCATCTGTCCCAGAAAGAGTTTCTCTGTGTTGCTCTGCCTGTTCTGGAACTCACTCTGTAAACCAGGCTGTCCTTTAACTCAGAGAGAGATCCACTTGCCTCTGCCTCCCTAGTGTTGGAGTTTGTCACCACTGCCCAGTCCCACAGATTTTGCAGAAACACAAACTGTATTTGAATGTACCTTCACACTTTTGCTAGTTGTATGATTTGGGAAAGTTAAAAAACAAAAACAAAAAGCTACCTTCCTTGGCTGGATTGGACCTCCATGACACAGTGGTAAATCTTATTATTTCCTGGGTGCACACGATCCTAGGTCTGATCAACAATAATGCCAGAAAAAAACAACTACCATTTCTTCAGTTTCAATCTATTATTCTATAATATGGAAATGCTAATACTTTACCACAGAGGAATTTTAGGACTAACCTAAATTATGAATATAAAAGTGCTTACTTACAACTTTCAGTTATTTCATATGTTTTTTTGTTACACCCATTTCAAAGATAGTATAGCAGCATTTTTCTCCTTCCTACTTGCATAAATTCCACTAGCATTATCGAATGAGTTTTTGACAGCCACCCACAAATACCACAAAAACAGGCCAACTCCTAAATTCCACTATAAGAGGCCACAATATACCATCCATAATTACCCTCTTTTCTGTAATCATTATATTCAACTAATAATTTTGAGAAATACAAGACACATGGGCAGCTGTGGAAACCAAATGAAAAAGTAAAAGTTACCCATTTATGAGAGAAATGCATGTCTTCAAAGGTAATTGCCACTTATAAGAGTTTTCCATTTTTGCCCCATGAAGAGAAGGGTAAGCAATGAATGCAGCTCTTGCTTTCTCTTTTTGTCCTGACCATCAACCTGAGCAGGCATTTACCCACATCTTTGTCTCAGGAGGATGATCTTTAAGTACAAAATTTAATTGGCCATGTTCAAGTCTGTTGTTGTGGTAGGGACCATCACTACCTCCCATCCATACAGCAGAGAGTCATGTTAAGAAACTTCTGTTTTGCTTATGTTTGCATTTTGACTTGATTTTGCTACAGGGGTCTATATCAACTAAGATCTAATAAAGCATAACGGAACACAGAATTCTTGCCTCTCTGAACCATCACAGGCTAAGCCTTGCTACTATTGCTGCTAAAATGGGTGTTGAATTTCATCTATCAGACCCTGTTATTATACATAAGAGTTTCCCATCCTAAAATATAAATAAAGAAAAATAATCAACTTATTTTCCAGTGACAATTCCTTCAGCATCATAATTTTGCAAAATTGTGATACTGAAGATACAGCATCATAATATGATATATACAAAATTCTCAAATAAAAATAAAATGAAGCCAGGAAGTTATAATTAAGACTTTTCCAGATTCTGACTAGGATTATTTGTGCAATTTGTTAAGGAGTTTTCAAAGTCAGATTGTAAGGCTCTGGGATGGATGCAATATTCAATGTCATTTCTCAGATTTTCCTTTCAATAACTGTACAAAGCCCATCTAAAGTTACCTGTCAGAACTTCTGTCACTATGATCAGAACTATAGCCTTCTTCTGTCACCTAAAAGAAAAAAGTTGAAACCAATTATTGAAATGACATCCCTACTCAGCACAAAGTGTTTTGTTTTTTAATCTAAATTCCAACTCTTAATATTTAAGTGAGAATATTCCTTTTGCTTGGTTCTTAATATTGTTAGCTCTGGCCTTTGCCATCTTATAAAGCTTCCCCACCTTGGTTAACCATCACAATTCCCAAACTAAAATGAATGAATTCCTAGAACTAAATTAACTTGCATTTCTAGATTCTTGCTTACCCTATGCTTTCCACCACCTCCCCTGCACACACCAAGAAATACTAACACTGACTGTTAACTGTTAGCAATGGCTAATATCAGGCCACAAGGGAAAGATTTTCCAGCCTGTAAATACTCATGTCTAAGAGGACCACAGGTTCTCTAGTTTGTTGAACTAGAGTCATGCAGTCCCTTTTCTGTCTTTCACTCTTGCTGACCTTACAAGTGTACCACTAAATTTCTGATACTGCACACAGATGCAAAAATGTCAAAGCCCACACAGAAAAGACGTCAGCCCTTCTAGTCCCCAAACCCTGGCTACCAAAGCTTTAGCTTCAGCTTCAGTGTCAGCGTCCTGAGCTTCAGCTTCAGGAAGGAAGGAGACCAGTGGAGACAGAAAGATCCCACCTGCACCCACTGGAAGAAGAAATGGGAAGAAGACAGAATAAGAGCACAATCAGCAATAGAAAGACCAACATGACTCCACCAGAATCTAGAGAACCAACGACAGCAAGACCTGAAATGAGCTACATAGACAAAGCAGAGGAGACAGACCTTAAAAATTATTTTGTGAAGATGATAGAGAACCTCAAAGAGGAAACGAGGAAACCCCTTAAAGAAATAGAAGAAAAAACAAACAAAAAATCCATGAAACGGGGGAAAATTCAAGAAATAAACAAATCTCTAAAAGAATCTAAAGATTACCAAGAAATGAAAACAACCAAACAAATGAAGGAAACAACTCAAACAGTTGAAGGATTGAAAGCTGAAATAGCAACAATAAACAAAAAACACAGAATGAGGGGATGCTGGAAAGAGAAAAGCTGGGTAAATGATCAGGAACTACAGATGCAAGTACCACCAATAGAATACAAGTGATAGAAGAGAGAATCTCAAGTGTTGAAGACACATTAGAGGATATACAGTCATCTACCAAAGAAAATCTCAAAACAAACAAGTCCCTAACACAAAATATCCAGGAAATATGGGACAACGTGAAGAAGCCAAACCTGAAAATAATAGGTATAGAAGAAGGCAAAGAAATACAGCTCAAAGGTATAGAAAACATATTCAACAAAATCACAGAAGAAAACTTCACTAACCTAAAGAAGGATATGCCTATGAAAACACAAGAATCTTACAGAACACCAAATAGGCTGGACCAGAAAAACAAGTCACCTCGCCATATAATAATCAAAACATCAAAACTACAGAATAAAGAGAAAATATTAAGAGCAGCTAAATAAAAATACCAAGTAACATATAAAGGCACACCTAACCAAATTATACCTGACTTCTCCATGGAAACGATGAAAGCCAGAAATCCTGGACAGATGTCCTACAAACACTAAAGGAACAAGGATGCCAGCCCAGACTACTATATCCAGAAAAGCTTTCAATTACCATAGATGGAAAAAACAAAATATTCCATGACAAAGCCTGATTTAAACAATATGTATCCATGAATCCAGCTCTACAGAAAGTGCTAGAAGGAAAACCTAGACCCAATGAAGATAACTACACTAACAAAGACACAGGCAATAGATAATCCCACTGTACCAAACACCAAAAGAAAAAGGGAGGAGAACCTACACAAAATAACCCCACTACCAATAAATCAAGCACAAACAAGAATCATCAATCAATGGTCATTAATATTCCTCAATGTCATCGGTCTCTACTTGCCTATAAAAAGACACAGACTAGCAGAATGGATACGAAAAAGAACCCATCTTTCTGCTACATACAAGAAACACATCTCAAAGTCAAAGACAGACATTACCTCAGAATAAAGTGTTGGGAAAAGATTTTCCAATCAAACGGACCCAAGAAACAAGCAGGTATAGCAATCCTAATATCTAAAAAACTAGACTTCAAATTAAAATCATTCAAAAGAGATGAAGAAGGACATTTCATATTCATCAAAGTCAAAGTCCATCAAGATGAAATCTCAATTTTGAACATCTATGCCCCAATACAAAGGCATCCACATTCGTGAAAAAAACATATTACTAAAGTTCAAATCGCACATAAAATCTCACACACTAGCATTAGGAGACTTCAACACTCCGCTCTCACTGCTAGACAGGACCTCCAGATAGAAACTTAACAAAGAAATAAAAGAACTAATAGAAGTTATGACACAACAGGGTTTAACAGACATCTATAGAACATTCCACCCAAACACAAAGGGATATACCTTCTTCTTGGTGCCACATGGAACCTCTCTAAAATTGACCACATAATAGGAAACATAGCAAACCTCCACAGGTCCAAAAAAATTGGAATAACACCCTGTATCTTAGCAGACCATCATGGATTAAAATTAGAATTCAACAATAACACAAATCTCAGAAATCCTACAAACTCATGGAAATTGAACAATGCACAATTGCACCATCCCTGGGTAAAGGAAGAAATAAAAAAAGAAATTAAAGACTTCCTGGAATTCAATGAGAATGAAGACACAACATACCCAAACTTATGGGACACTCTGAAAGCAATGCTGAGAGGAAAGTTCACAGCACTAAGTGCCCACATGAAGAAACTGGGATCAGTCACACTAGAAAATAGCACAGCTGAATGCTCTAGAACAAAAAGAAACAAACTCGCCCAGGTGGAGCAGACGCCAGGAAATAATCAAATTGAGGGCTGAAATTAATCAAGTAGAAACAAGGAAAACATTGTGAAGAATCAATGAAACAAAGAATTTGTTCTTTGAGAAAATCAACAAAATTGACAAACCTCTGTCCAAACTAACCAAAAGACAGAGAGAGAGAGAATGCTAATTAGCAAATCAGAAATGAAAAGGGGGACATAACGACGGACACTGAAGAAATCCAAAGAATCATCAGGGCATACTTTGAAAATCTGTACTCCACAAAATTCAAAAATTTAAAGGAAATGGACAGTTTCCTGGATAGATATCACTTGCCAAAACTAATCAAGAACAGATAAACAATATAAACAGACCTATAACCCTTAATGAAATAGAATCAGTCATCAAAAGTCTCCCAACCAAAAAAAATTCCAGGCCCAGATGGCTTCAGTGCAGAATTCTACCAGAAATTCGAAGAAGAGCTAATTCCAATACTCCTTAAAGAATTCCAAACAATAGAAGTGGGAGGCTCACTGACAAACTCTTTTGACGAGGCTACAATTACCTTGGTACACAAGCCACACAAAGACACAACTAAGAAAGAGAACTATAGACCAGTTTCCTTCATGAACATTGATGCAAAAATACTCAAAAAATTACTAGCAGATTGGATTCAAGAACACATCAGAAAAATCATCCACCATGATCAAGTAGGCTTCATCCCAGGAATGCAGGGATGTTTCAACATTAGAAAATCTATCAATGCAATCCACCATATAAACAAACTGTTAAAGAAAAACCACATGATCATCTCACTAGATGCTGAAAAAGCCTTTGACAAAATCCAGCACCACTTCATGATAAAGGTCCTAGAGAGATCAGGAATAACAGGAACATACTTGAACATAATAAAAGCAATATATAGTAAACCAATAGCTAACATCAAACTAAATGGAGAGAAACTCAAAGCAATTCCTCTAAAATCAGGAACAAGGCAAGGCTGTCCACTCTCCATATCTCTTCACTATTCTACTTTATGTTCTAGCTAGAGCAATAAGACAACAAAAGGAGATCAAGGGGATACAAATAGAAAAGAAGAAGTCAAGCTTTCACTATTTGCAGATGGTATGATAGTTTACATATGTAACCAGAAAAACTCCACAAGAGAACTCCTAGAGCTATTAAACACCTTCAGCAAAGTGACAGGATACAAGGTTAACTCAAAAAAATCAGTGGCCTTATTATATACAGATGATGAAGTGGCTGAGAAAGAAATCAAAGAAACATCACCCTTTACAATAGCCATAAACAGCATCAAATACATGGGGATAATATTAACCAAAGAAGTGAAAGACCTGTATATCAAGAACTTTGAGTCCCTAAAGAAAGAAATCCAAGAAGATACCAGAAACTGGAAAGATTTCCCATGCTCTTGGATTGGTAGGATCAACATAATAAAAATGGCAATCCTGCCAAAAGCAGTCTACAGATTCAATGAAATCCCTATCAAAATTCCGGCACAATTCTTCACAGACCTGGAAAGAACAATAATCAACTTTATATGGAAAAACAAAAGACCCAGGATAGCCAAAACAACCCTATACAATAAAGGAACTTCAGGAGGCATCACCATACCTGACTTCAAGCTCTATTATAGAGGTATAGTCCTGAAAACACCTTGGTATTGGCACAAAAATAGACAGGTATACCAATGGAACTGAATTGAAAACCCTGATTTTAACCTACACATATATGAACACTTGATTTTTGACAAAGAAGCTAAAACTATATAATGGAAAAAAGAAAGCATCTTCAACAAATGGTGCTGGCATAAGTAGGTATTGGTATGCAGAAGACTGCAGATAGATCCATGTTTATTGCTTTGTACAAAACTTAAGGCCCAATGGATCAAAGATCTCAACATAAATCCAACCACACTGTAAATCTTAGAAGAGAAAGTGAGAAATACTCTTCAACGAGTTGGTATAGGAGACCACTTCCTGAACAACCCAGCAATTCCACTCTTAGGCATATATCCAAAAAGATGCACCTTCATACAACAAGGGTATCTGCTCCACTATGTTCATAGCAGCATTAATTGTAATAGCCAGAACCTGGAAGCAACCTGGATGCCTCTCAACTGAAGAGTGAATAGAGAAAATGTGCTACATTTACACAATGGAGTGTTACTCAGAAGAAAAAAAAGCAATGGAATCTTGAAATTCGCAGATATGGTACCCCACGGTACCCCAGAGAAGAGGAATGAGGCAAGATCTTCTGAACAGATTGGGAACATGACCAGGGGTGGGGGGGAGTGGGAGCTGGGAAGAAGAGAGGGGGAGAGGGGAAGAGAGAGTAGGACATGGGAGAACAGGAGGGTTGAGTGGGGGATATAATAGGGGGGAAGAGGGAATCATAGGTTAGAAGACAGATCTGGCAACAGTGAGACCTCTAGTGATCTAAAGGGATGACACCAATCGGCAAGCTAGGCAATAGTGGAGAGACCACCTCGAATGACCATTCCTGAAAATGAACTTGATGTCTATAACCATCCTGGAGCCTTCATCCAGTGACTGAAGGAAACAGAGGCAAACACCCACAGTTAAACACTGAACTGAACCCAATGAACCCAGTGACAGAGAGAGGAGCAATGAGCAAATTGGCAAAGAGTGGGCTGGCAAAATCAGCCGAGACAGCTGATCTGAACAGGGGAGAGCTCTTGGACCCCAGACTGACTGCTGGGAGGCCAGTATGGGACTGATCCAGACCCCCTGAATGTGAGAGTCAGTGAAGAGCCCTGGGCAACCCATGGGGCTTTGGGCAGTGGATCAGTGTTTATCCCTGGCATACAAACAGACATCGTGTGTCCATAACACAAAGAGGGATGCTCTAAAAGGCTGGACTCTTAGGGGGAGTGCCTGGACCCTGCCCTGAGTGAAATGACAGACTCTATATATCCCCTATGTGGAAGGAAATGGAGATAGGATGGGAGGATGGGGCGGGGAGATGGTCCGGGGTGTGGGAGGAGGGGAAGAAGATGGGACTGGGATTGACATGTAAAACAAACTATTTAAAATTAAAACAAAAAAGGGAATAATATTGGAAAAAACAAAAAAGAAAAAACACCCCACACACTTATAATGGGAGACTTCAACACCCCACTCTCACCACTGGATAGTTCCACCAGACAGAAAATTAACAAAGAAACAAAGGAATTAACATAGTTATCACCCAATTGGGTTTAACAGACATTTATAGAACATTCCGCCAAAACATAAAAGAATATACTTTCTTCTCAGCACCACACGGAACCTTCTCTAAAATCGACCACATTCTTGGCAGTAAAGCAAACCTCAACAGATACAAAAAAAATTGGAATAACCCCCTGTCCCCTTTCAGACCACCACGGCTTAATACTAGAATTCACCGTCAACACAGACTGCAGAAACCTCACAAACTCATGGAAACTGAACAATGCTTAATTGCATCACCCCTGGGTAAAGGAAGAAATAAAGAGAGAAATAAAAGACTTCCTAGAATTCAGTGAAAACGAAGGCACAACATTCCCAAACCTTTGGGATACTTTGAAAGCAGTTCTAAGAGGACAATTCATAGCACTAAGTGCCCACATGAAGAAATTGCCACACTAGAAAATTAACAGAACACCTGAAAGCTCTAGAACAAAAAGAGGCAAACTCACCCAGGAGGAGTAGACACCAGGAAATAATTAAATTGACAGCTGAAATCAATAAAGTAGAAACAAAGAAAACAATACAAAGAATCAATGAAACAAAAAGTTGATTCTTTGAGAAAATCACAAGATAGACAAACCTCTATTAAACCTAACCAAAAGACAGAGAGAGAACATGCTAATTAACAAAGGCAGAAATGAAAATGGGGACATAACAACAGACACTGGGGAAATTTAAAGAATCATCAGGTCATACTTCAAAAATCTGTACTCCACTAAATTGGAAAATTTGAAGGAAATGGATGATTTTTCTGGATAGATTATCACTTACCAAAATTAAATCAAGAAGAGATAAACAATTTAAGCAGATCTACATCCGCAAAAGAAATAGAATCAGCCATAAAAAGTCTCCCAACCAAGAAAAGTCCAGGGCCAGTTGGTTTCAGTGTAGAATTCTACCAAAAATTCAAGGAAGAGGTAATACCAATACTCTACAAATTGTTCCACACAATAGAAGCAGAAGGATCACTGCCAAATTCTTTTTATGAAGCTACAATTACATTAGTAGCCAAACCACACAAAGACACAAACAAGATAGGGAATTACAGACCAATCTCCCTCATGAACATTGATGCAAAAATACTCAATAAAATACTAACAAATCAAATCCAAGAACACATAAGAAAAATCATCCACCATGATCAAGTAGGCTTCATCACAGGGATGCAGAGATGGTTCAACATATGAAAACCCATCAATGCAATCCACTACATAAACTATCTGACAAAGAATCTAAAACTATGCAATGGAAAAAAAGAAAGCATCTTCAACAAATGGTGCTGGCATAACTGGATGTTGGAATGTAAAAGACAAAAGGTAGATCCATATCTATCACCATGCACAAAACTTTAGTCCAAATGGATCAAAGACCTCAACATCAATTCAGCCACACTGAATCTCTTAGAGGAGAAAGTGGGAAGTACCCTTGAATGAATTGGTACAGGAGACAGCTTCCTGAACATAACACCAGTAGCACAGACACTGAGATCAACAATTAATAAATGGGACCTCCTGAAACTAAGAAGCTTCTGCAGGGTAAAGGACACAGTCAACAAGACAAAAAGGCAGTCCACAGAATGGGAAAAGATATTCACAAACCCCACATCTGACAGAGGACTGATCTCCAAAATTTACAAAGAACCCAAGAAGCAAGTCTCCAAAACACCAAAGGATCCAATTAAAACATGGGGTACATTTCCAGCCAACAATCCCACTGCCAGAGTGTCTGGGGTGCAGGGAGGACCCAAAAAGAGATATGCATGATAACCCAGAGAAGGGTTATGTGATGCAATCTTGTAATTAGATTGGGTAGGGGGAGAAGGGGAGGCAGAAGGAGATGGAAGAAAGAGAGGAATAGAAGAGGAGGAGAGAGGACAACATGGGAGAGCAGGAAGGTTGAGCCAGAGTAAGAAAAGAGGAGAAACTGATGGGAGATACTATAAAAAAGGGAGCCATTATTAGTTGGAGTAGAGATCTGGCACTAGTGAGATCTTCACAGATCTATAGAAATGACACCAACTGGCATTAAGGCTACCCTAAATGCCCTCCCATGATGGTGAGAATGATGACTGCCTTATGTCATCCTAGAACTCTCATCCAGTGACTGAAGGAGATGGAGGCAGACACCCACAGCTGTGATCCGAATTGAAATCCTGGAACCCACTTGCAAAGTGAAGTGATGACCAAGGGAATCTGAATCAGGCTGGGGAGGCCCATAGTGACAGCTGACCTAAACAAGGGGCATCACATGAATCCCAGACTGATGATTGGGGGGGCAGCAAGGGACTGATCCAGAGACCCTCCCACTGAGAGAAGAGGCCTTGGCACTCTGTGCGACCTTGGAGAGTGGAGCAGTATTTATTCCTGGCATACAGAGTTACTCTGGGAGCCCATGCCACGTGGAGGGATGCTATCTCAGCCTGAACACATGGAAAAGAACCTGGGTCATTACCGGGATGATGTGATGGACTCTGGAAATCCCTCATGGAGGCCCTTGCCCTCCCTGGTGAGTGGAAGGAGGATGGAGTGAGGGTGAGGTGTTGGAAGGATTGGGGGTTGGGAGAGGAGGGGAGGGAGAGGGAACTGAAAGTGACATGTGTAAAAAGTTAAATAAAGATATGGGAAAAAATTAAATGCTCTGAAACATCAACTCATGTCTCTTGTTCTTATAATTACTTTGTAAGTGATAGCAACTAAACAGAAGAGAGCATAAATAACCAATTCATACAAATATTAGTTGGCCCAGATTAGCCCACAACTAAATAGGCTGTTTATCAGAGGTCCTAGGTGGTGGTAGGGCTGGAGGTAGGGAAGGAGGACCTGACACTGGTCATGATGGCACCTACCTGTTAGCCTTGCACTTAGTGGGCAGAGGCAGGGTCAATAGGAATTAAGGCTGGAATTACAGGTGTGTGCTGCCATGCTTGAGTTTATGCAGTGTGAGTTTATTCAGGGTAGGTGAACAGACACAGTGACTAGTCCATGCCTGGCAAAGACACTCTTCTAACTGAGCTATGTTCATTTCAGACAGGATCTTGCAGTGAAGCACAGGACTGTCTTGAATTTATGCCCTTTGTGTCTGACCTTCCTGAATGCTAGGATCTTAGGTGTCTAACACCTTGCAGGAAACTTAAAAGAAATTTTACTAGAAGACTGGCAACAATTTTTGTAAGCATATATAATGATATATGGCTTCTTTATACATTGGTATTGTTAATTTGATTTTAAACTCATGAAAATAATCATTAATATAAAGAAACGCCAAATTTTCAAAGAAGCCAAAAAGATACAAAAGGAAATCATAGTGAAATGAAAATGATACATACAACTACACAGACATTTGAGGTAGAAAGTAGAAAGCATTGCACTTACCCCTCCATTCAGATTAATTATCTCATTTCTCTGCCGTTCCTGAGCCAGTAAGTATTCAGTCTGTTCTCTTATTGTAGAAGTTCTAGTATTCATTATAAAGGGTAAAAATTCAGAAAAATAATTTTTACTAAAACAGATGCCTGACAGATTATTTAACATTTGTGAATGATTTATTTAATTTTTTGTGTATGTATGTATGTATGTATGTATGTATGTATGTATGTATGCATGTATGTATGTATGTATATACACATGGAGATGCCAGAAGAGGGCAACAAGTATTCTCTACAATCACTTTCTACCTATTGTTTTGAGGCAGGTTTTTCCCTGATACTGGGGCTTGCATTTTCTTGGCTAGTCTGGAAGTCAGCAAGCCCCAGTGAATAGTCTTGTCTCTCCCCATTTCAGCAACTGGACTACAAAACATGTAGGACACATGGTTTGTTATGTGGGTTCTGGGACCTGAACTCTTGTCTTTATGTTAGTACATCAAGTACTCTAAATTCTTAGCTATCTCTCTAGCCCCCTATCTAAGATTTTTAAGGAGACATTTCAAATTAATTCTCTTTATGATATTGAAATATAGAAAAAACCAGTTATTAGCTACATGCTGCATCTAGGCAACTTGTAAGTAAATGGATGTGACTAGGAAATATGCCAAGTGGGTAACCCAGACCCAGAAAGACAAACGCTGCATGTTCGCTATTTTTGTGGACACTCTGAATCCTTAGATGAGAATATATAACCTGGAGTAACCTCAGAAGCCAGGAAAAAACAAAGGGACCACAGTGGGAGGAAGAGGTACTCTAGAAGAATAGAGTAGGACACTGGTGCTGTGAAAGGGAAAATGAGAAAACAGGTTGGGGATTTAACTGGAAAGAAGGGAAGAAATACAGAGGACGAAGGATGGAACAATAATTAACACTAAGAATGTTTAACCAAGTCACAGCAAAGCATAGTAATTTTGATCACATGAAGTATATATATTTAAAATATACATAAACATGTTTAAAATATGTATGTAATTCAAAAGAATTTATGCTATTTTAAGTGCCAGTGGTCCCCACAAAGATCATAGACAACCTAATAAAAACCCAGGGTTTTCAGTTTTGGTCATGGGAGTAAAAGAGACTCCCAAAACAGTGTAGGCAATGGCTGTTGCCCTTGTTTGCCTTGCATAATTTGAAGGTAGGACCTTAGTGCTAAAGAGGGCACATACTTTAGACAGTGGACTTGGAGGAAATGAGCTACTCAAAGGCACATTTACTCAGCTGAGGTTGTGGCTCAAGGGAAATAATTTGCTTAACATGTACAAGGCCTTGGGCATAACAACAACAAGCATATACATATATATTATTTGCTAAAGACTTTTAGAACTCCTTAAGAATGAGATTAAGGAAGGAAAAAATTCATTACCATTAGTTATGTTTTATCAATTTTGCATAATTTGTTGGTACATTACTTTGTCTACCAGTTTGAAAGATGCAAAAGAACTAACTAGCTACTAAGTGAACAACATTGTTTATTGGGTAGGCCTCAGAGGAAAGATGAGAAACTGGAAAGCAAACTTAGGTACTACACATACATGTCAGTTGATACCATGAGCCACATAACTGGAATAATCTGAATTGGAACTATTTCTGAATTAGGAAAATACATTATTTAGATATTAAGATAAAGAATAGAAAGCATGCTTAGACATTTACGTATGCTTCAAAACATTGTACTAACATTAATAAATCACTGATTTTGCTTTTACCTGTCAATTTCAGGGTCAGATTCTGGTGATGTTTGGTTTCTTCCAAATCTTCCTCTCTGACCACGGTACCTCTCTTCATTTCTGCGAGATCTCCATGTATTGTTGTTATGAGCTCTCCCTACACGGCCTTGATGAAGTCTCCTTAAGTGGTCATTATTAACTCTCTCAGCACGGTTGCGACGAATTAGCCCTGTAGGGCTAGAACGACCTCTTCCTCTTTGGCCACGATGAGCTCTCCCTCTGTGGCTAAGATGAGCTCTCTCTGAATGGTTGGGAAGAGCCAGACCTGTGTGATTAAGATGATCTCTCCCTCTCTGGCCACGGTGAGCTAGCCTTGCATGGCTACGATGAGCTCTTCTTATGTGGACAAGATGGGGTCTATATGCGTGGTCTTGATGTGGTCTATCTGAGTGGTCATGATGGGGTCTAACTAAGTGGTCATGATGGGGTCTATCTAAGTGGTCAACAATGGGTCTACCTGCATGGTCATGCTGGAGTCTACCTAAGTCGTCAACAATGGGTCTACCTGCATGGTCATGCTGGAGTCTACCTAAGTGGTCATGATGGGGTCTATCTGAGTGGTTATGATATGGTCTATTGGAGTGGTCATGATAAGATCTATCTGAGTAGTCATGATGGGGTCTATATGAGTGGTCATGATATGGTCTACCTGCATGGTCATGATGGGGTCTATCTGAGTGATCATCTTGAGGTCTATCCAAGTGGTCAAGATGGGGTCTGTCTGAGTGGTCATGATATGGCATATCTAAGTGGTCATGATGTGGTCTATCATGATGTAGTCTATTTGAGTGGACAGGAGCTCTCCTGAACGGGCTAGGAGATCTGGAGTGGTGGCCATAAGATCTGTTAATGGGGCGGCCACGAGACTGGGAGTGGTCATGAAATCTCCTGAAGGAAACTTGATTTCCTTGTATTTCTGGTTGTCTCTCTTCAGACTGGTTTCCATTCCACCCTGATCGATCTTCACTGCTGTCATGTCTCATCTACAGAGGAGCCCAATTACATAATACAAATGAGACAGATTGTCCATGGTTTCATTAAATCATAAGGGTAATTTTCAAAGTATGTCCATCCTGTGTTCGTTCGTTTGTTCCTTCCTTCCTTCCTTTCTTTCTTCCTCCCTCCCTCCCTCCCTCTCTCCCTCCCTCCCTCCCTCCCTTCCTTCCTTCCTTCCTTCCACCCTTTCATTCTTTTTTGAGGCAGGGTCTAACTATATAGAATAGGTTAGCCTAGATGATCAGATTTTCATGAATGCTTGAGTAGGCTTGTACTATCACACATTGCTTCAAGATCATTTCTATCTGTCTTTCTCCTAGAATTATACTATGACTACCTTTTATATACTAGTTACCAGATGTAATTTAAAGACATGTCTGATATACCACATCTCTTGCAAAAAGACATAATACACATGTAATAAAACAAATATGGAAAACTATCCGTCTTGTGAATTTTAATAATGAAACAAACTATGTGACTTTATAATTGAGATGAGAAGCTTTTTTTGGGAGGGGTAAGGAGTTTATGCTGGCCAGAAACTATGTATTCAAGTTCACCTTGAACTTCTGAAATTCCTACTTCCACCTCAAGTGCTATAATTAAAGACACATGCCACAACATCTGGTATTATATTGTACCGGGGACTGAACCCATCTCTTTATGCATGTTAAGTACTCTACCAACTTAACAACTTCCACTTGCCCAAGAGTGATAAGAGTATTTAATAATGTTTTCTAACAGAACTTCTTAATATCAAAGAAAAAATTCTATTTTTGATTATTTTCTTTCCCAGTGGTCATTAAAAAGCTACCTTTCAATAAAAAAAAACCTACTTAATTCTAAGGAGAAAAACAAAGAAAGTGGAAAGTATGGTATTTACAAATCAAAGAGTTTGTTTGATGCAGTTCAAATAAATATCTTTTCAGTTTTTAAACCAAAGGACTGTATAGTGAATCACCAAAAAGGAAATAATGAAAACTTTGACAAATGTCTGTGATGTCCAGATTAAATAAATACCATCATATTGACTGTGCTAAGAAAGTAAGCTTTAAACTAGTATATGCTGCTTAGCAAGGAAAACATCCTTATATTTGGCATTACCATGTACTGCTACATCACTGTTAAATGCTGTGATAAATTGGTAAATATGAGTAAGGTACTAGCACAAAGTATATTACACATACACAACTTAAAAAAAAGTGACCAGTGTTGGGAGAAAATGAGTAATCAGGAAAAACAAGATTGAGGCACATCTCATGAAGATCCTTTGAACAGAGTTTCCAATAGTTTCATAAATGCTTGTGCAAGTAGTATTTTCTGGGCTTGGGTTGTAGCTCAGTGGTACAGTGTATCAGGAGCATGAGCAGGGCTGTGATTTCTATCTGTTGTATCCTTAAGAAATTATTTATGTCAAATTAGGTACTAGAAGATTCCTAAATTTAAGAAAAGAAATAAATAATTGTAAGAAAAGAGCAAATACTTAAGAAATAAGTACTTGTAACATTTGGGTTTATGTGTCTACGGTATGTGTGGGTTATGTGCCATGGTGTGCATTTGAAAGTCAGAAACCAACTTTGTATGAGTCTACTTTTTCCTCCCACTTCTACAAGGGTCCCAGGGATCCAACTGGGTTGCCTAGGCTTGTGTGGCAAGCAACTTTACCATTTTCTTCTCCTAACAGTCTTCGTGTGCCTATAGCACAAAGAGGGATGCTCTCTCAGCCTGGACTCTTAGGGAAGTGCCTGGACCCTACCCAGAGTAAAATGACAGATTCTAGATATCCCCTATATGGAAGGATTTGGCAATAGGGTGGGAGGGTAGGGGGGGAAGGGGAGTGCAGGAGGAGGGGAGGGAGAGGGAACTGAGATTGACATGTAAAACAAGCTATTTAAAATTAAAATAAAAAATGATAAAAAAGTGAACCAAACTGCCAAATTTAAATTGAAGGAAAAATACTAAAATGAAATCCCTGTTCTCAACAGAATTTAAAATTATTTTCATTATTATGAAATATGATAACTAAGTATGGTATTTAGAGTGAGAGGGGCACCCATAGGCTCATACATTTAAATGCCTAATCCCCAGTTATTGGAACTGACTGTGAAGAGACCCCAGGAACACAGTCACTCTTATAAAGCAGAGCATTTCACTGGGAGCTGGCTCATAGTTCAGAGGTTTACCATTGTCATGGTGGGAAGCATGGAGGCACTTAGGCAGACAGTGCTGGTAGAAGAAAGACTAGAGTTCTACATCTGGAATTGGCAGGCAACAGGAAGAGAGTGTGACACTGGGTCTGGCTTGAGCATTTGTAACCTCAAAGCCATTGCATGCCACACTTCTTCCAACAAGGCCATACCTACTCCAGCAAGGCCACACCTCCTAATAGTGCCATTCTCCATGAGCTTAGTGGTAATATTCAAACCACCACAGGAAAAATTAGAAGGCATTGTCTTGTTGAAGATGTGTCACTTGGTGGGGACAGCTTTCAGGTTTCAAAAGCCTGGACCATTTCCAGTTAGTTCTTTCTCTCTGCCTCACACTTGTGAATCAGGTGTAAACTACTGTACCAATGTTACACATGTCTTTCTGCTATCGTACTCCCCACCATGATGATCATGGATGTTAACCCGCTAAAATTGTGAGCTACAATAAAAACTCTTATCTTTTATAAGCTGCCTTGATCATGGTGTCTTGGTACAGGACTAGGAAAGCAATTAAGACCCACAACATGAGTGTGGTCCCAGAGCTCTGGAAGACTGAGGCGAGACAACCATCACAAGTCCTTTGCCAGCTTAGGCTCAAAACAAACACCACACATTTAAAAATCAACAGTGTGACATTTCAGACTCTTGATTTCTGGTAACTCTTGGTATTGACTTACCAGAAGAAATGAAGGATGATTTTCTAGAAATCTTGGTCTGAAAAAGTTCTCGTTTCTTCCCCTATTGCCACTTCTGAATCCTGTATATTATTTTGACAAGAGTTATTTTCTGTATCTTCATCAGTGAATTCAGTTACTTTCAGAATCAGCTATTAGAAGCTAGGCCTTGTTTTGTAAAACAGACTCTTTCATCACTCTGACAGTGTTTGATTGTCTCACTGAATTCTACACAGCTTTTGCCATCCTATCTATACTTTGAAGGGGCAATCTCATTTTACACAGTATTCAAGATTCAGTTGTATATGGTACCAAAGTTGAGACATCTGGAATTCATTAAAAATAAAAATAATATGCCAGCACAAAAAAGAAAAATGTTTTTTATTGATCATATCAATATTTGCCTCAATTATCTACTTTGCTTTGCGTACAGAGATAGTTTAGTAAATACTTATAAAATACTTTGTGGGAATGTGGCTCAGTTGGCAGATTTCTTTCTTAGTATGCACAAAATCGCTGAGTTTGATCTCCAACACAACATAAAACTCGATCTCCAACACAACATAAAACTCAGTGTGCCAGCACATATCTCTAGTACTGTCACTTGACAGGTAGAGGCAGGAAGACCAGAAGTTTAAGGTTTTCCTTGGTTATACAGTGAATGGGAAGCTAGCCTGTAGTACATAAGACCTTATCTCAGAAAAATAAATTAATTTAAAATATATAAATACCTGAAAGGCTTATAAAGGTCAATTTTATGTTTTATTGGGAAATACATGAAAATACTTTTACCTGTCTTAGTTGTATTGCCCCTACAATAACTACTCTCTCTGTTTCTCATTAGAGATTGAGCCACAGTAAATTTGGGTAAGCTTGTAAAGTCTTGTAATATGCACTGTGTTAAGATGGTGCTGAATAGATCAGAGAGACCCTTAATTATTGAAAATATTTCAACAATGGCAATCTGTATAACATGGTTGTGTTCAAATGTGTTTACTTCTCCAAACAATGCTGTTAGGGCTATAGGAGATATCCTTCACATTCTACCTCATTCTCTTTACCCAGTAATATTCCTTTATAAAAATGTGGTTGTGACAGTGGTTAGGTTATTGATCATGCCCTTAACACTCCTGTATTGCCTCTGAAACATGCAGCAACCAGGCAAATCTAAAACAATTACCCCCATTGTTAATTTCTTGCCCTGTTCTCCATTAGAAAAGTAACTCATCATTTAAACTTTTCTTTCATTTGACCTAGAATAAATTCTTACCAACCCCTGTACAAGTTCATGTCTGAGAGAAATGAAGTATGCCAACACAATGCAACATTAGTTCACTTAAAAGTTTTGGAGTCTGCATGTTAGTTTTTACCATGTGTGCTTTTTAAATGTACTTTACCTATCCCCTGATAATGCCTACGGATAAACACTGGGCCTCGGAAGCTTGCTCTCTGTGTGTCATTCTGCTCACTGTATTATTCATCAGGGTTAAGGGGTTCTAGTTGTCTACGGAGTCTAATTTCATCTGCATCAGAAATTACCAGAGAAATGAAGAAGTTGGAAAAAGTCAAATGACAATATTTTATTCTTAGACACAAATGTGTATCATACTTCATCATATTTCAGAACACACGGAACAACTGTTAACTGTTAAATAAAATCCCTAACACCAAATTCATACAACAAGGGCATCTGCTCCACTATGTTCATAGCAGCATTATTTGTAATAGCCAGAACCTGGAAGCAACCTAGATGCCCCTCAACTGAACAGTGAATAGAGAAAATGTGGTACATTTACACAATGGAGTATTACTCAGCAGAAAAAAACAATGGAATCTTGAAATTTGCAGGTAAATGGATAGCACTGGAAGAAACCATCCCGAGTGAGGTAACCCAGTCACAAAAAGACAAACATGGTATGTACTCACTCATATATGGATTATAGACATGGATCAGGAGATTGCCAGTCTGCACTTCCACTGACAGAGAGTCTGGGAAACAGGAAAGAATCTAAAAGATATGCATGGTACCCAAGAGAAGAGAAATGAGGCAAGATCCTCTGAACAGATGGGGAACACAGCGAGGGGTAGGTGGTAGGGGGACCTGGGAAATAGAGAGGGGAAGAAATGGAAGAGAGAGTAGGTCGTGCAAGAACAGGAAGGGTCACTGGGAGGGTAGGATAGGGGGAAGAGGGAATCATAGGTTTGAAGACAGATCAGGCACCATTGTGACCTCTAGTGACCTAAAGGGATGACACCAATTGGCAAGCTAAGCAATAGTGTAGAGACCACCTCGAATGCCCATTCCTGATAGTGAACTTGATGTCTATAACCATCCTGGAGCCTTCATCCAGTGACTGATGGAAGCAGAGACAAACACTCACAGTTAAATACTAAATAGAACCCAAGGAACCCAGCGACAGAGAGAGAGAGGAGTGATGAGCAAATTGGGAAAGAATGGGCTGGCAAAACCAGCAAAGACAGCTGATCCGAACAGGGGAAATCTCTTGGACCCCAGACCGAGAGCTGGGAGGCCAGCATAGGACCGATCCAGACCCCCTGAATGTGAGAGTCAATGAGGAGGCCTGGGCTTCCTATGGGGTCCTGAGCAGTGGATCAGTGTTTATCCCTCGAATACTAACAGACATCATGTGTCCATAACACAAAGAGGGTTGCTCTCTCTGCCTGGACTCTTAGGAAGTGCCTGGACCCTACCCTGAGTTAAATGATAGACTCTAGATATCCCCTATGCTGAAGGAATTGGCAATAGGGTGGGAGGATGGGGGAGATGGGGGGTGCGGGAGGAGGGGAGGGAGAGGGAACTGGGATTGACATGTAAAACAAGCTATTTAAAATTAAAATTAAAAAAGGAAAAAAATCCCTAACACTAGACTATTATTACATTTGGAAAACCACAGTAATAGCAAACAGAATTACAGACAAGTTGTAAAGCACCCAGCTTCCATGTGGGAACTGAACTCTAATCATTTGAAAGAGCAAGCACTCTTTAGAAAACAGTTAAGCTTTTTTTTTCAAAATTAATTCTTCGAGAATTTCATCAATCTATTTTGATCATATTCACCCTCTTCCCCAAACTCCTCCTAGATCCACCCATTATTCCATACCCATCCAACTTTGAGTCTGCCTACTTTCAAAATTCATCAACTCCAATCTGAAATGCCCATATGCTGCTGCTGGGTATGTAGCCATCCACTTGAGTGTATGTGACATGCTAGAGCCATACCTTCAAAGGAAACTATCTCAAAGCAGCTATCAATTGCCAATAGAAATTGCCCACCTCTCCTCAACATGCTGGGAATTTGTCTGGCCTCAGGTACTATGTATACAGTCACCATCATTTCTCCAACTCCATAAGACTCAGCAAGTTCTAAATCACTCAGAATGTACTTGAATTTGACCAGATATATGGACAAGGTCTCCTCACCCAGTGCTATAGAAACAGTAAGGACTTCTGAGGAGACCTGGACTGGACTAGCCAAGCTACTGTGAAGTTGTTGAGCTGCATGCAAGTTTGCAGTGAGCTCCAAGGTTTCAGCATTCCTGAAATGTCATCAATGTTAGCTCTTGTTCATATGTTAATTAGGAACTCCAATAAACTTATTGGTTCATCAAACTGAACTTCAGTGGTGTCTTTATGTAGTGACTATTCATCTTTCCCCATGATTTATGACACACAGCATCATGTGTGTGTACGTACCCATGAACATGCATGTAGGTACACATGTGCCATGCTACATGTGTGGAGTTCAGAGAACAACCTCATGTGTCTGCCCTCACTTTTCACTTTATTTGAGACAGGATCTGTTATTTGTTGTATATGTCAGCCTGGCTGGCCCTTGGAGCTTCTTGGTATTTCTCCATCTCTGCCTCTCATGTCGCTGTGATTACAGATGTGTGCTACTATAATGAGACATGTATAGATTATGGACATTTAAATCTAGGTTCTTATGCTTGCAAGGCCAATGTTTTACCCATGGTGTCATCTCCCCAAATGTTTTCCTATTTTTCCTGCTAGCTTGTTTGAGAAAAGGTTTTGTTATATAGACCAAGCTAGTCTCAAGGAGCACTTAACTTATCCATGACTCATTACTGCTGGGGTTATAGGCATGTGCCAACACACTCAGCAAGTTTCCTTAAATAATATGGAAACTTTTATGTCAAAGAGATTCATTACACACAAATAAACAAACAAAAAAGGGCTTTCAGGTCCTATTATCTCAATAGAGAGATCATTTATATAGGTGCTTTCACCTAGTGTTATTCTAGTTTCAGAAAAATAGCATCATTCCTGAGTAAATGCCAATGTAAGACAGTTGTATATATTTTCTCAAACATAACAAATTGGACATGAGATAATACTTTGTAATCTGTCACCTTACATCCTCAGACAGAACACTTACATAAAGGATTTCAGTGGTGTCATTTGCCACAGACAACTTAAGACACCTGAAGTTTCAATCAAAACACACTCTAACTCATATCACTCCCTTTAAATCAGAAGTAAAATATATAAAATTGCTCCTCAAATACCAAGTAATCAAATGCTTAATTTTCAGCTCATCTATAACTTCATAAAAACAAGTTCAGAATTTGTGATACTCAGTCAGTAGCAAAGCAAACCCATAATTTTAAAAATCCCTTTCTTTTGAATATAGAATGTATGGATTTATTTTCCTATGAGTTTGGCCTAATTTCAAGTAACACTTGAATCCCTAATACAATGAGTGAACAAACATTAAAATAAGAGAAGAAAATAATAGTGGTGCCATGGAAAGAAAAAAGTCCACGTTTCAGTTGAGATGAGCCCCCCAACAGAATACTTTTATTGTTTATTTGGGAATTTCATATAATGCACCCTGATCCCAATCCTCCAAGGTCCACCCTCCCACCCTTGTGCCCTTCCCTCAAAAGAAAAAAAATACAACAAGTTCAATAGGTGTTGCCCATACACTCACTGGAGCATGGACAAACTCCCAATGGCCCTTATTTTGGGGGGGTGTATTTGCCACAAAAGCCTTCAATGTTTCTCATTCTCAATTATCAGTCTGCAGTCATAGATACCACA